TCAGGCACCCGCCTTAGCCTTGCTCTAGCCCTGCTGCCAGCGCGGCGGCCTCGAAGCGCTGTGTGGGCCCAGGGCCGGTTCAAAGGGGCTCCAGCTGCACTTCCCTGCCGCGTCCTCGGCCCTCGCCGTGATCCCAGTCCCAGTTCTGGGAAAGCACGGCTCACCACTCGTCTCTGGCCTTTTCTTCCCTGGAAGGGAAAGGTGTCATTTGGGGAAATGAATAGCACCATGCTCAGGGCAGACTTCCACTGTCCAGGTTTCTCCAGAAAACTTCATTCCAGTCTGTATAGTTTTCCTGGGGAGCTTTGCCCACAGCGAGAGCTTCTTTGAGGATGTGTTGATAATGAGCAACTACTACCTCAACCTCAGCTTGTGCTGTGCTGTAACATGCAAGAGGTGTGACCACGTTTTGACACTGCTAGCGTTTCCAGGTCACATAACCTCCCTTTGGTTGTGGCTGGGACAAGCTGCTACTTTACCGAGCGTCACTTCAAAGGTTTGGTTTCTCATTCATGTTTTAGATTGGTGAGGGCACATAACACGCAAATGTTCCTGGCCTTTCTCATATACCTTTGATTTTATTATGATAGCCAAACACAGTACTTCCCACAAACATCCATTCCCTTGATTGGACTTTGCTAGTTGTTCAACAGACAACTCAGGCTCAATAGAGCACCGCAAAAAAGTTACAAATATATGTATGCCATTACGTCTCATGGACACGGTAAGGGATGTTGCCCTGGCCTCCGGACCAGAGGTCTGCCAACATCTGCTAGCTCTGCTGCAGCAGAAAATAAAAGACCTGGATCCAAAGATGATACAGGTGTAACTCCATCTAAAATTTCTTTTGTTCTTCTTGTGTGTAAGCTGCACACAAGAATTGCTCAGCGTCAGGGCTCTGTGGAGTCTCTCTGTGATGCTGTGCTTGCATTAGCATCTGGTCCTTTCACAAAATGAATCTGCAGTCAGTTTAAATCTGAACCCTTTATACTCTTCTTTTTCTCTTCAGATTGGGGCTGGCAAAAAATCCGTTTGCAGCATTTCTGTGACAGACATTCAAGACTCAAGTTTACCCCCAAAAGGGGGAGGAGGAGAGCACATGGTGACCATTTTGCTCATGCTTACAAAGATTCCTCACTGCACCAAACAAAAGTCCTGAAAATGCCTCCTCACAGTGGGCTCTCTGTTAACAGAAACAAAACGCCAGTTTAAAAAAAAATATATGGCAAAGGCCAATAAATTGCCATAAAGTTATTTGCACAAGGGTAGCAGAAGACCAGCTTTGTGAAAGGAGAGCTTATGAGCGTCTGTAAGCTGAAGGAAAACATGCTCCCCCCGCCAATTTGATCATGAGCTAGAGGCATCACTTCCTTGATATTTGTTGAAAGAGTGCTGTAGATCTAGAAAAAAGCAAAAGCTAGAATTAACATGTCTCTCTACTCCGTTTTCTGTCTGACACCAAAAGAAATGCACTTGTCTGACCTGTAGTATATTTATAGACCCAAATCTTGTGGTTTGTTCTATCTGTCCATGACTTCATCAGCAAAGCGTTTAGGGTTTGCCTGATATTAAGTAGCTAGACAGAATGCATTAGTCTAGAGATTGATTATTAAATTCCATTGTCAAACTTAAGTGGTCAATAAAGACAATGGAATGCAAGTGCTTCAACCATATAATGCTTTGTGGGGGTATTACTGTTAGGAAATTCTCAAGTGTGGGCTTCTCACAGTGGGATTTCAGTACTATTTTGATTTCTTCCTTGCCCAACTCTTTCCTCTGTTAGGCTTTGTCCTAGCCCAGTGCATAGTACAGCCAGCTACTGAGTCACCTGTATCTTCTTTAGAAGCTGCAGCCACTCAGCAGAAGTGGGCCAAGGCACCAAATATGAATTTTTAACCCAAGGAAATGAAGTTACTCTCTTTCTACCCTTTTAAAATGGAAATAAAGATTCAATGTAATGCAGAAAATTTCTCTCTACTGTTGCCATTACAGTTACGGGATGCATAACTGTGAGAACCCCACAGTATTACCTGCCAGCTCAGCATCAATACTAGAAGGAAGTATTATCTTCAACTCATCTCGTCTCAAAAACCACATTGTTGTTGACTTCCAGCATAGCTCTTGCTGAATTTGCCCCAAGACAGATTCCCACTGTTCCTACATGGCATAACGCCCATAACATGGATGGAAGCAAGCATCTTTGAGCTACTATTGGCCAGATGTTGTTTCTTTCTGCTAATTAAAAGACAGCATCCATTTCCCTTTGTCCTCTGATCAGAGTTATTGGGCAGTCTAAGCTGTTCTGAGTTAGAACAGCCCAGAAAGTTAGCGTAGGTCTTATTGAAGCAGGGCTATGTTCTTCTGGAAGCAACCTTAAGCCTTTGATAAGAAGTTAAGAAGTCAACCTTGCCCATCAACCTTTGGGCAGCTCTTCATATTCTTTGTTTTCTCTGTTATTTTGATTAGGATTGAACTGGATTAACAGAAGTGGCACACTTTGTTCCTGCTTCAGACTGCATTCACCTTAAGGTTTAAGCTTCCGTTCACTGTACTAGTATCTTTCCTAAATGCTCCTGATGGCAAAGCACTGAATGATCCTTAGCGATCAATCACATGGAAAATTGTTAAGTTATCTGCATTTTCTCCAAAAGTACTTAGAGTAATTGAAAATGCATAAAATCCAAACTAGGTGCAAGGTTTTTTTTGAGTCCCAATTGCACTGCAACCTAAAAAGTCTGTATTTAAAATAGATAAAGCAATGCCCTCTAGTGTTCTGCAGAGAAATCTGAAACAAAGCTTCCCAAAGCCTTATTAAAAATTAAAAAAAAAAAAAAAAAAAAATCAAAGCACAGCTAAACTTCTGAAAACTCATGGCTGTCATGCAGCCCACTTAATCTGTTCTGTACACAGGTGTGGCCTCCAGAACTATTTGGCATCCTTTTCTTTCTCCCATTGCTGGTGCTTGCAGCTGAATTCCACATCAAAAGATGTAAATATTTTCTGGGCATACACTGAGGGTCTGAGGCGCATCTGGGAACAAGAGGGGCTTTTCAAAAAGAGGCAAAAGCCTGATCCATTTTTCTCCCCAGAGTTCACAAAATAAATGAAATTAACCTCTTCTCTCATCATGCACAAATACCATCTGTGGATAGGATTTTACTATCACCCCACTTGTGGCACATGAGAAGTCCCATAAACCTCCACCCTGCACCTTCCCCAAGCGCACACAGCATTTGGCACTCTGTGTTACTGACCACCACACCAGCAGGATGCTTTTGATTTGAAGAGCTTTCTCACAAAGCAATGTTCCAAAGATGAATGGGTTTCCTTACAGTATGTAGCATTCCCAAGGTATTGATAAATTGCAAGTAGAGCTGTCCAGACTAAGAAGACTTAAACATTAACGACAGTGAGCATTCTTCGTTCCAAAAAGTACAGAATTATCAAAATGTTTATTTACACCTTATACACATTCCAAAACTCAACTTCGCATTGCAAAAGGACAGGAAGGGTTTTTTTTTTGTTTTTGTTTTTTTAAAAATAACTAGAGGTCAGAAAAGCAAGTGGCAAAATCCTTAATGAAAGATGAAAGCTGTTCTTAAATGGGCAGCCAAGGAGTCATTAAATCTCTCCACTCGTTGGTCTTGAGACACTACTGCCAGGTCATCATCCAGACAGAACAAAAACTTGATTGCCTTCAATAAAACTTTTAATCACATCAAGTACTTCTAAAATAATTAAGAAATAAAAAAAAAAAAAACAATCAATATTGACCACTTTGTGCTTTTGTTACTTCATAATATTGATCTGCAACTGAGAGAAATCACAGATCAAAAGCCGCAATAGGAAAAAAGATACTAGAATGAAACATAAGCTCTGCCCATGTCCTATTTGAAATAAAGAGGAAAAGAGGTGGAACAGACTGAAGATAAACCAGAAACACTGTCTTGCGACCTGAAGGGGACTGAACGAGAGAACTGCCCTTGCAGAGACAGCAAGCACAGCCGTAGGAGTTGCTACCTTGAATTTTTTTCCAGTCTGGAGCAATTTCAATCAGTACAAGCTGTTCAGGGGCCTACACGAATGAGTTAGCTATAGTGTCAAGGAGTAAATTGAGATGCATATTCTTATTAGCAAAGTTCCTCACTCTTACGAGCACATTCACTGAATCAAGGCCGAGACAGGAATGGACTCTTCCGAGGGAAGCTAGCTTGGCCTGTACAGTAGATAAAGAGAGAAGTTTAAGTCTTCAGGCTAGGCATCACCCTGCACCTTCCAAAAGAGTTTATTCACAAGAACAAAACAAATGAACTTTAGCAAGTTCTTTTCAAAGAAGCAACTCCCCTCCCCTCAAGCCTGCCAGACACTCCCAATAGTTTTTGCAAAATTGGGATATGAATGAAACATTGGCCTCAGTAAACTGCACTAAGCAGTATATTCTGAGCTTGAGCTGGCCCTCCTGATGAGCCTTTCAGGGCAATACACTTGCAGCCCTTGTGGTTGACTTAGGATGAGAAGTGGGGTCAATTTAGGAATTTTTAAAATTAAGTTTAAACTTAGGAACTTCCACTTTAAAATTTAAATTATATTCCCCTCTTCTGAGGGGACAATCAATGCACACTCTAGTTAAACAAGCAGGTACTTGGGTTTTTTCCCCCTCTTATAGGGAGCGGTGACTGCTGAGCATCCTGCAAAGAAATTATTTTTTAATCTTGTGACACACAACTAAATTAAGAGAGAAAAGCAAGCAGGTTAGAGACTGTCCAAAAGACAGCCAAGGGAGGATGCACCATTGTATCTACCACTGCATTAGCAACTATTGTTTCTGTTGCATCCTTAGAGGTCTGATGTAAAACATCTGCATGACTGATAGCAACCACAACACTGTCCTAGATAAACTACCTGTTTAAAAACAAAACAAAACCCAATCAAAAAAAAAAAAAACAGCGCATAGGATCAGCTTTTTTCTTCTTGTGTTGTCATTCTGTTTGCAAGGGGACCATTCAAACAAAGCTCAGGACAAAAAAGCAAGGAAGAGGTCTGCATTCAGAAGATGGAGATGAAGACTGACATCATCTCAAGAACCCACAACATCCAGCTGGAATAAACCAAACAACTTTTTCACGTCTTTCCTTTTATTCAGTCCAATGCCTCCCAGGCACATTTTTCTCATCTCCTCCAGGAAGAAGCAGAAGAACTTGAAGAATGGAAGAACACGTCCCAGCCTTCAGCATGGGGAGGCCATACACATATCTTGTCATATCTTGAGAAGACTTGTATTGTTGTGCAAGGCTAGGTGCATTCTAATAGCGCTTCACTTTGCAGAGACACCAAGATTGTCCAAGCAAGACACCGTTACCTATCTGAAGTGGGTGTTTTTTCATCACTGAAGCATGAACTAAGCTTTTCCATTCTTCCCCTTGGCCCTCCTCTTACACAAGCGCTTTGCTATGAGACTAGCAATGATGCATTCTCCTCCTTTTCTTTCTGCGTCACCATCTGCAGGTACTTTAGTCGCATAGGAGGGAGTTGCTCATAAAGATCAAATCCCAAAGGGCTCTCTGCATTCAGCATTTTGTAGTAGAGAAGGTGCTTTTTCAAGGTCTGAAGAAAGAAACAGCAGCCATCAAGCATGTCTGAGAGGTGTGAATCTAATGTTTTCTCCCCATCTCCCACACAACATAATAAAACACCAGATATTAAAACTCCATCATGCCCAGCATGTTTAATTGCATCATCTTCAGTAGAAATGTAAAAGGTGAGTTTCTCTCAAGAAAAATTCACTTTTGGTTTGCATGAGATGTCCCCTTTTGAACGTTAACTCCACCGTCTCCTCAACAGCCCCTCACACTGACTTCCTGTCAGAAGTCCAAAGAGGTACATTCCTAGATCCCAGTCAGAACCCATGGGCACTAGACATCAAGGGCCAAGTGACTCAGCACTTTTACATAAATGATGAACTTTGGTATGATAAGGCAGAATGGAAAAGAGGAGAAACTTAGAATCTGTTTGGTTCTTTTGTGGGGGAACATCCAATTATGAGAGAAGGGAGATCCTTGCTGGCCTCCTGTTCATAGTTGCGATCACCTCTAAAACCTCTCACTACCCACATATAATGGTGCTCAGGCAAAAGGCACAGATCTAGAGAACGAGATCTGTGTCATTGGGCTCTGAACACTGAGTTGAATTACAACAAGAACTAGCTAACGGTAGATATAGCCGTTATAGGTCAAAGTCCTGCAACTAATCTCCTCTCACTCTCAAATCAGCAGTGTAGATAAAAGCAAATCTCAAAAGCCAAAGCTCTAACAGCACCAAGCCTGTAGAACCAAAGTCTTGGTGGCACACACTGGTCTTTGCAGAGCCTACCTTATCCACCAAGAGCCATGTCTTCTTCAGCATGCTTTTCCGAGCAGCATCACCCTCCTAGGAACAAAACACACACTTTATTTAATGCAGCACAACGCTAGCTTTGCCCATGGGCCGTGCAGCACTCCAGGATGATGCTCTTCTCATTACGATGCTCCAAACAACAACCTGTTCCACCAGAAAGGGCTTGAGATGGCCGTCGCTTGGATCTCACACCTCTCCTCCTTTCCCAGACTAGTAGCCTTACGAGACACTGAAGTCAGTGGAGTTGTTCTTACATTGCTATCGCTGAAACTCAGCTGAAACCTGAACTATTACATAGAATTGTGCGTCAAACAAAGGTGAAGCGTTAGCAAAAGGAACCAGTGCTGGGGCCAAGGCCAAGGGAAGGCTCCTGCTTGGTTAACTCATGCAGGGAGTAAGTCATTCAAGCAAGAAGGTGATAGGAGAGAGCACCCCACACCTTAGCCTCTGCCTGGGGCACTCAAATCTATCATGAGCTCCCTCACCCTCTGTGCTTCATTCTTCCCTTCTGAACAATAGCTCAAATGGTTGCTGACCTTGAAGGGTTATGTAGGACTGGCTGTCATTAATGCATGCTTTTTAGGGTATACTGAACAAGAGCTGCTGTCTGTCTCATAGGCGGGCGGATTCCACCTGCAGATCTCAAACAGCTGCATCGTCTTCAAAACACACAATCTTTGTTTTCAAGTAAAACACGCCCAGGGGTCAGTAACTGACCACAAGCTGCATTGGACACTTGGGAAGAGCAAGTGCAAAACCCAAAGCTTCTAGCCCAGAGGCTCTGCTATCCATTACCCACCTGTGTGGTGCTATCTTGGGAGAAAATAAAGCTGTTCACATGAGCCACAGCTACCACATAAAGAACAGGGCACCAGGAGTGGCGCAGTGCTCCGGTGACCAGTGTTCGGAAGTAGAGTCGCAGGAGGTTCAGGTTATCCTCAGGAGGGGCAGTATATCGCTCAAGAGGCACGGGGAACTGCAAAAAAAAATCCACCCAGTGACAACATTAGTTTGCATGCAGGAAAGTTCATGTCTTTAGTGTCCCCTTCCCCAAATGTTTAAATGTGGGCTGCCACATAACAGGGTGCACCTCAGTGGCACAACCCCTATTAGGAGCAGGGCTGTTGCTGTCCGTGCTAACTGATGTGACATGCTCTTGACAAAACATCTTCAAGGCCTCTTCAGCTTTACAGAGAGATGTTTTACTGGATACATGACTACAGCTGCTTTTGGCACAGGCAAGAAGAGTGCTTTCGAAACAAGGAGACGGCAACTTCAACTGCACTGCATCCTGATAATGTGTCACAAAGGCTTACATTGACCTATGCGTTTAGCCAGAAAGGGAAAGCATGTATAATATATTCAATGTGCCAGAGTTAATGCAGCTGTTAAGTGACACTTCCAACATTTTTCTGACTTCACTGTCCAGCTTTAAAAAAAAAAAAAAATAGACCAGAAAAAGCTTTTAGCATCAACTTACTTCTGGAGAGAAGAGAAGCAAACAAAAATACAATTTTTATTCTCAAGTTTTAGACAAGCTCTCTAGAGCTGAAATTATGTATTTCTCTTTGGAGCATCTTCTTCATGAGATCAAAAACAATTATTGATTTTACTCAACTCAAAAAGTAGATGCCATTTTGTCATTGAAGACTACAACAAACTTCAGTCTTTCAGTACCAAAAAAAAGTATTACTGAAATATTTCCTGCCTGATAGGTTATCTTTAGCTTGACTTAAAACAAAACAAAGGAAAAAAAAAAAAACACAGAAAAGTGATCTTGCACAAGTTTTCCAAAACAGAATTTGTTTTCAAGCAAAAAACAATCAAAATACCATCCAAAGTACTCAGCATTTAAAAAAGAGCATGCGTAAAACAAGGCATAAAAACCTGCTATGTAGCATATACCACAATTCCAGAGCTGAGGGAAAAAGCACCTGACCTAGAATCAAGGCTTTCGTCTGGAACATGGCATTCAGCCCTGCTCCTCTCTGTACTGGTGGAAGTAGAACAGGGCTGCTGAATAGGGAGAAGTCAAACAGGGAAGGTCTATTGGGACTATCAAGAGAATAGACAGCTTATCATAAGGCAGATAGAAGTTCTTGGCTTATATAGCTTAAGAAACAAAGGCTCATCTGGGCATAACAATGTAGTAAAACTGGCCTAAGGGCTTCCACAACCCAAACAAAAACACTGCAGCCACGTGAGGCACAGCACTGACCTCAGGTAACCTCACCCTGCTGGTTCACTGTTCAGTTATTGGAAAAAAAAATTTTGAAAGGTTAACTTTCCATTAGCAAACTTCAGGCTAGATCAGGTATTTTGTCATTTTGCAACTGATACAGAGCTTAGGGCCAGCTAAATTCAGTCTCTTGTGCTCTGCTCATTCAAAAGAAATGCAGTCCTGCCCTTGTCAGATCAAATTTTTTTGCCGAGTGACCCAGTAAAGCAGAACTCCAGTATAAGCAGCTGTGCAAATACTCAGAGAGGGAAAAGGATGTTCATGCATCAGGCAAGAGACAGTTTAGTATCAGGGAGAGAGAAGACATATTTAAGCAAAAGGTCATTGCCGGAAGAAGAACAGGTGCAAACTGGCCCTTCATACACGTAGGCCATAAGTTAGAAGGTTGTCTGATACTAGACCAAGCAGGGTGTGGGACAGATTCCATTGGAAGCTACAAACAATTTCGCGGCTCCCTCCCTCCACGTATACACACTGTCTGCTCTCAAAACAAAGTTCAAAAGGGTTCTGAGAAGGATTATGTGATAGGAGGCCTGCACCTATGTGGACTGGACTTTGGTTTTCCAGGCTTACAATAAAGCATGCTATTAAAAAAAAAAATTATGTAGAAGTACCAGCAACTGCTGTCATAGCCCTAAATCAAAAGAATATTGCTTTCCATCCTTCCCTTTTCACATTATTCAGGAACAATAAGGACCTTGTAAGCAAACAAACCATGGTTATTCTACTGGATAACGAGGGATGAAAAAGGAAAGGAAGTGCTGGGCGGATGCCCAAATCAAAGTTAGGGAAACACAGTCAGGAGCACAGCATCCCAGGGATGAGAAGTACCAGCTAACTACTCTAAGCCAGGGTTACCTGCTGAAGCGGGACCCTCAGTGCCCTCAGAATACTTGTGTGCTCCCCAAAGACAGAGAGTCGCAGATGAACGCTGAAACGCTTCTGCAGAGGCAGAAGAACAAAGGCTCCAAAGAGTGGATCTCCAAAGGATACACCTTCAAACTGCTCCAGGAGACTTGTATAGAGATCATGGAATGAAGCCAAACCAGGGAGAGGAGCATCCAAGTTCAGGGAATCCAGTGCTTTGGGCTGGCAATAGAGAGAGAGAAGGGCGGCTGTGTAGCAATGGATTGGTGCTTCTAGAAAGAGGTCACCGCCTGTGAGGAAGACACACATAAGCCGTGCAAGTTTGGCAGCAGCAGGGATGCTCTGAAGGGTTTTAGCACGCCAAGTTTCCAGTAACAAGATCCACTGCAAGTTCCAGGTCACAGTGTTGACTAGATCAAGTGGGAGAGAGTTCAGCACAGCCCCCCGCGTTTCTGCACTCGTCACTTTGTTGTAGAGTTTGATAAGGGGAAAGAATGGCCAGTCTGAAGGAAGGATGGGCCCTTTGACTGCAGGAAGCAGCATTGACTGGATGAGGTAATTCTGTCCTTGGTAGGATGCCCGGGAACGCACTAGGGTAGGTTGTAAGTGAACAAAATGAGAGAGGTAACAGGAGCGGATGAAACGCAGATTCTGGTACGATTCTCTCAGCAGGACACCACGGGTAGGCTTGGAAAAAAATGCTGCCAGAGAGCCAGGCTGTGCCAGTTTGGCACTGGTACCCAAGTGCAGGATATCAGAGAAGTCAGCTGCTTCTGGCCCTCCAGCTTTCCCTTCACTGCAAGATAAAAGATAAACATCAGTCCTTTAAAAACAAAAACCCCCAAAAAATCCCACCACCACCAGAAATTCATCTCTATCATCTCCTTGGATCAGGGACAGTGGTATGCACAGAACTCCCAACAGTCTCTGCAGCATTCAGCTGGGATAATACTGAGTCGCTGTAAAGCATCAGCTCTGTTAGCACCCACAGGAAATTCACAGAACTACATTTGGAGTCAGCAACACTAAGGCCTTGCCGTGAAAAACCTTCACACAATGCCAGCAGCCTGGTCTGCAGGCTGCAATCCCCTGTCCAGGGGGACAGCCTACTTACCAACACAGCTGTCAGGATACTGAGGTGAAATACTGCATATCATAAAAGGCCTCTAGGCATCAATAAGACCATTCTCACAACAGCAGCTTTGCAGCTAGCACTGGCAAGGTCAGGGAAACACCACAGACCAGACTGGTAACTAGAATTTAGGATGGGGGAGGGAGAGTCAAACCCACATGCCACAATCTCAGATTAGAGACCGACAAGGTCTTGTATTACTTGCCAAATTCTCGCAAAAATGGTAGCTCTACAGTAGTGGGTTTTTTCTGTCGTTTTGTTTGTTTGGGTTTTTTCGCAAAAACACTTTCCTTTTGAAAGGAGAATTTTCTGAAGAAGTCTGATATCCCCCTGCAGCACCTTCATCCAACCTCCTACAGGGTGCACCATGGCAAGTTTCAAGAGGATTGTGACAAGCAAAATAAACCACTACCATCTTTTTGGCCAGACGTGAGAGGTTTCACGTTTGAGATCCCCATTATTTCCTTCAGTTCAAGGTGGAAAACACAACTGTTGTCAAAACAAACAGCAAACCAAAACGTGTGTGTACTTGTATATTAAGGATGAGAGGAAGATTTAGTAAACTCTTCAGAGTAGGTCAGGTTTCCATCTACTTTCTAGACTCAGTTTGGTGTTCACTATTCTCAGGACAACGGATGCTGGGCCTTGGTAAGCATCAGTTCTATCAGAGATCAAAGGACTCTTGCCACAGAGGAGATCAAAAGAAATTTGAGACATGTCTCAATATTGCTATGCTGGAGAGAAAGCTGCAGCCATAATGCTGGTCTGACTAGAAGACTATGACTGGAGAGTATGACATTGAGTATCGCAGATTTCAAAACAGGCCCTGTGAAAGGCCAAAAATTATTACAAAATGCTAAGGCCAACATCTGCTTTTTCATCCTTTCTCAAGGCTTCCCCTATCCAAAGGTCACAAAAGGAAAAAAATGTAAAGCTTACGGAAAAAACTCTGGATTAAAGGCAAGATCCAGTAGGACCTCATGAGCCAGATGTTCACTTCCTGGCAACAGACGGCTTAGCAATGCCATGGCAACACAGTGATGGAGTGAGGCATGCTGGGCATAATCTGGACAAGTGCCTGCCTGTACAGGAAACAAAACCGAACAACAGATAAAAGCAATACACCATTTGTCAACAAGGCAATCATAAGGAGAGGAGGATGAGTGGAGACATGAATCTCATTGGAAAGTAAGAGACTAAGGCAGACTGCAAGAGCTGTCAGGCATGCATATGGAGATCTTTCTCCTTCCCCTGAATGTCCTAGACAGTCAGGCACAGTTCTTGAGTGTACTGCTAAAAAAGTTATTCTCACTCTAGCCCAAAGATAGGCAGAAGTATAATTTTGCCACTTAAAGTATTTTGGATCTAAGTCCCCACATCAATAATCATAAAAGTGAAGATATTATTTGCTGATGGGGACAGAATGGTGAGACAGCTGGAGAGTCACCCGACTTAAGTCAGGTATGAGAAAGAAAATAGAAGCAAGGACCAGTTGTCAGTTTGACACATTAACGAGTTGGAGAGGCTAGGGCGAAGTGAATTTCTGGATGAAAGAAAAGAAAGGACTAACAACAATACCATTCTCCGAGCCAACGTTAACACAAAGTACTGCAGATGATATTCATGGCGCAATATCCATGCAGATGAGGGTGTTACAGAGGGAGGTCCAGTCTGCCAGCTCAGATGCAGATAATCCTTCAAGCCTTTGAAGTCCAGCACAGAGCTGTACTATAGAGAAATCAGAAGTGAAGACAAATACTACTAACAGTCCCTGCTTGGAAGGAAATAAACTTTAGTCGTCCCCAAGGTCTGCCCCCAACCCTTTCCCATGAGAATACCTGTCGGCTATTCCAAAAAGGAGTAGCCTGATAAATACTCCCTTTTCTGTCTCAGGGCATGCCCATATCCATCATAACCATCCCTTCTTCAAGTAACCAATAGTCACTGCCTACATTTTCCACAGTGCTTTGTAAGGCAGAAGTCAGGGCAGTGGCTTAAGAGTTCTCTCTCTTGTCTGGTAAGGTACTGCTATTAGTGACTGATCAGCTAATTCAACATAAGATTACAAAGGAAAGCTCTGAGAAAGCTTATGGCAGGCACTTTGCCTCTCTAAGGTGTTCTGTCATTTCTTCTTCAGAGTTTGCACTCTTCCATGACACTATTATTCTGAAAATTCAGGGCAACCACAAGTTGGAAGAAACCTATTCAGCCACTATAGCACTCACTCTCTGGTTTAATTTTATCTGCTTCTTCTTTGTTATACCTCCTTCAATGCTTCCCCCTCCAGCCTTTTGGCTAAGGCCAAAAACCAGTTATTCAAAATTTCTCATTCTTTATAAATTCATCCTTTGTGCCTAATTGTTCTTCGCCACCCTGCTCTGAAATAATTCCAGCTTCCCACTGTCAACTGGATATTGAAATACAAAGATAAAAGACACTTTTTGGATCCTAGTCCCACCTATTCTGAAAATGGGGGGTATTTCTCTCTTGCACTTTGATCATTCTAAATCAAAAAAAACAAACAAAAAAAACCACACACAACAATTCTGCCTCAGTCCTACTAACAACACTCTTAAGAGGTTAGCATTTGTATTTTCCTAGGCTTAAGTGTATTGTCATTCACACTGAACTTACAGTGAAAAAGTCAACTCTCACCTTGCTGATCAGCCCTTTGTGAATGTGCGTGATGCTATTGATGAGAAAGAGGAGGGCAGTGAGGAAGGGGAAAGGTGACTTGGAGCCAACTAGGCTCAGGGGAGGTTTGCCTCCAGTACAACTCAAAGACACAATACTGAAGACAGACTCTGGTGCTGGGGCACAGGACAGAGGATTGCACAAAGCAGAACATGGCCTGTGTGAACAGAGAAAGAGAGAAAGATCAGGTCAAAGAGCACTCATCTCACTGAAGATTTCTCTTGTAAGAATGTTGCTATCTGTACCTTGCTACACACTGCAGTCAAATGGAAGCCCCAGGAACTGGGCATGAAAAAAACCTAATGTCACAGTTGGTCAGGTAAGCGCTATTGCCATACAAGCTTATGCCAGTGAGCTGCTGTGATGAATTCTAATCTTCGGCTAAACTCTTCATGACATGAGAAAAATACTGAGGTAATGATGCACCTCTGATGTCAAACATTTAAAAGCATTGGGCCCTTGATTAAACAAAAAACAAACCAAAAATTTCCTATAGGCACATATAATCCAGACTAATAAGGCTGCCCACCCACTCAGGACATTTCAAAAATAAGCTGGCCTTTTGGCTTTGCTTGCCAGTTTATACCTAGAACTGATACTGTAAAAGTGCTGCCTCTCATGAGCCCATGAAAGGCATATTTAGAAAGTCTGTTCAGAAGAACCTGGCTTTAATGTACGTGGAGATGACTGTCTATGCAGACTGCTCTTGGTGTGTGCTCACTCTCTGCAAGGGAAATTAAAACCTTTCATACCAGTACTACTTACAGGGTCCACACCTGGCATACTATGTCTGCACAGGCAAGATCACTACAGCCTGTAGCACGTTGCTAAACAGTAATGGGCAATATGGCAAATCCTGTCAAAGATCCACACAGTTATTTTGTAACAGGTAACTATTTACTCTTTAAATGCACTGCTCTTCCACTGGCATTGCCATGCAGAAGGTGGGTGCTCAGAGCTCACTGAAAGGAGGACTCTGCTCTGTGAAGAGGGTTTCTGATCTGGGACCCAAGGAGCGGCCTGAACTCCAGGCAGCCTCTGTGTATGTCCGGAACACACAAAAGCTGCCTGCACTTAGAGGAAACTGGCCCTAATCTGCCCAGAATGTTCAGACAAGATTGTCAAAATCTTAAGGTGAAGATCAGCTGACCCTTCATTTTACCAGTAAATGTTACAAACCGCCTAGGAGAATTCTTACTGATGGACTTCTACAGCCTGACCAAATCCACTGGTTTTCAGACCTCAGAGATCATCAGAAAAGGGCTAACACGTACCTTTGTGTTGGAAGCTTTGGTGCTAAGAGCTTCAGGGCTCAGTTCTCAGTCATGAAAGAGCATGAGCCAAACTGTTTGGTGAACATTCAAATACTAAGGCACTAGGTCAAAGATTTCAAAGTCAAAGATTTCAAGTGCCATTTCTGTCAGATGCTCTCAGAAGCAGTTGAATCCCTCTCTGACTACAACAAGGGTTAAGCCTTTCAGATTCACTCTCTCCAGAGGATTAATCACCGGCTCCCTCTACTGCAAAAGACCAGAATATCTTCAGTGCAGAAGAGAACTTGAGCTTTATCTCAGGCCCTAGGGTATCCCAAATGTCTGAAAAGACACCTTGGTACATGGCCTTTCTCTTTCCTGCGGGGGCTTTCATGGCCTTTGTGAAGCTTTGCAGGCGCTTAAGAAAGACAGAGTGTACTTTAACTCTTCTTATAAAAGCAGCATCATGCAGACTGTGTGAATGGTACATGTATCTCCCTGACATGAGAAGCACCCAAATTAATCTTTTATGTTTTTCATTTTTGCCACTGAGACCAAAGAAGAATCAAAGCCAGGAGCGACTAAGTCAATTTGGAATTGACATGAAACACAACTGCATGGGAGGGCAGCGTCTGCAGAGATGACTGGAAGGAAGAACTGGAGAACCTCTGTCCGCTCACAGCAAAAAGAAGGGTGGCTGCAGAAGACAGGGCAAGTTGCAGACAGAGTCCTAACACGCTAATTCACACACTTTCAGTATCACACATATGGGGTATATATGTACAGGGAAAGAAATGCGAGGGGGGAAACTGCCTGAAGCAAAACTGTTCTTTGATATAATCTAGGCCAATACTAGAGAATTTCTTTTCTCCGAGTGAGTCCTCAATCCCTGAACCACTTCACTTCTTACATTCCTGACCACACATTATAGTGTGGAAGAGAGGCTTCCTTAGCTTCTGCCTACAACATCTTAGTAATGAAATGATTTTACCTGAGCAAATCCCACATGCGGTGTAGGGCTGGCTGGCTGAGAAGGGGCAGCAGTACCTCAGATGTCAAGTGTTCCAGCTCCTCTAAGCAGTCAATTGGATTAACTGATGGCTGCAGAAAACACAAAAGTAGGCAAAAAGATTGTGAATGAAGGCATTTCAACGAAGGAGAAAAGCAGATTGATCTATTTTCTCTTTTGTTTAAAAGCTCTTTGCCAACCCACATCATCTATTTAGTGATACTGGTTAGAGCCAGCTACAGGTTAGAGCCAGCCTCACCACTGACAGCCTGGAAGCCGAGAGCTGGTGCCCCAAGGTGTCCTCCCATTCAAGTATTAAAATGCTTCTTAGAGAATTCTTAATTGGCCAGAAATAAGGCATGGGCAAAGTTCCCTAAATGAAGACATTCCCTAGCTGGCTAAAGCCCCTTCCCCTCCCCATCTATGGGCTGATCTTCCCATTTAACTTGAAGACAACACAAAAGTGATCAGAACTACCTTGGAAAAGCAGAGCAGCACCACGAGGGTGTGCAAAAAATGTCAGCAGTATAAAATGAGATCGACCTACCCACCAAGTTATGACTGTGGATGAACACTGCACAGAGGAGGATCTGTAGCTTTTAGAGAACCATCCCAATTCTTCTGCCCCTGCTAAGCAATATTCCATGCTGAAGGAACATGCTGGCAATTCTTTACTTATTTTTCCCTTCATTAGAATGCTGCGTTAGGATACAGAAATACTCATTGCCATAACTGTTAAAGAATAAAATTCAGTTTGGCCCCCCAAGGAGATGTTAACCTCAGTTCTGAGTAGTCTAACAAAAGTTTCCCAGGAAGGTCCAAGTAACCATTTTTCTCTAGCTACTATGCCAGTTGATTTTTTTTTGTACTAATCTATTTAAATGTGCTACGTGCAATTTTTTTTTTAAATCAGATCAGCTAACCACAGTTACATGACTTTTTTTTTTTTTTTAAGTGGAAATAAAAATTCTTGAGTCATAAGGCATAATTTCCTAAGAAATTATGTTTGCCAGTCACTCTTCTGGGACGTCTAAAAAGGTTGATGAGGAGTACTAAAACGTTTAAATGGTGACCCTAGTTCTCTAAAGTTCAGCAGCTAATGACAAGCAGGTGAAAGCTACTACCAACCTTTCAGGTATTCAAGATATCTTTGAAAGATGTTGGTGCTTTTCACCACAGCCATTCCTAATAAATTTATTTGTTTTGGGGAAGTTTCAGAGGAGGTGCAGAGGTCTGAATAACTACAGGCATTAAGTTATCAACACAGCTGCTCAGACATGCTAGCTGGGCAGTAAAGCGGAAACTTAACATTTAATTTTCAAACACGAATCTTTATGATAGCTAAAGTATAAGATATCATTCTTCAACAGCATCACATTGACGTGTGTTACCTTCAGAAAATTCACTTTAAAAGATGATCACATACCACAACAGTAAGTGGGTTACAGAATTTGACCTTGAACATCAATGGGGCAGCAGATAAATCTGTATTTATTGCTTGCTATTCCAAAATCATATAGCTTGACCCTCAAAGCTCAGTCTTACAACCAGACTACTGCCACATAACTGTCCACATGGAAGCTCTCAGCCCACAACAAACACATACACGGTGCAACTTTATTCAGCCCACAAAGAGAAAGGATTGCCAAACTAAATTAGGTAATGTTTGCTGCGTGCTATGGGCCTCTGTGGTAAAACAGAGCATTCACAGCACCACCCCATAAACCTGATTGAGACTCTGAGCCCCAAGGAAGAAAGGAAGAAAATTTTTAGCACTGCTAATGTGAAGGGTCAGCAAACTTATCTGACCCTGAATGCTACCCGGCCTAGACATGAAGCGTGGAGAATAAAATTTAGTCCTCAGCTAGATTCCTCAGCTCCTGCCTCTTGTTTTCAGCATTGCTTGTAAGCTCAGGTGTTTCAGAGACTATATGCAAGCTGATGCTGGTCAGATGAAAAGAAAGCCCATATTTTCAGGCTGTACCTGTTGGCTGCAAGCACTGTAATAAACTCCCAAGTAGATCATATAAGTTGTGGTTAGAGGCTGGAGAGCTTGCCAAGTTTCTGTCTGGGATATCTCCTGGAGGATTCTTTTCAGACCGGTCTCAAGAAAGGGCCGTAAGCTTGACACTTGATTCCATGTTACTGGCGGAGGAAGAATCTGTTTGTTATCTTCTGAGCCATTACTGAAACACAATGGGAGAATGGCACGGGATAACAATGACAATGTCTCGGAAGCAATCATCTCTCTAAACCATCCTTTATATTCTAGGAGAAAGAAGTAGCACTAATTCACAAAATAATAATTGAGAAATACTAGGCAGGAGAGGTGAAACATAGCAGAGGGGAAGGTAATAACAGGTATAGCTCATCCATGCACAGCTGACCTTACAGCTGGCTCTTTTAGCCAGCCAAACAGGACTACCTATTGTTTTAGCGACAATGTCCAGTTATGAATAGGTTCCCCTTGGGAGCTCAGTTATACGATGCATCCCCTAGAAGATGCTGATAGACATGGATCTTTTGCAAGTCACTTTGCTTCTTTCCCCTACAGACTGCTACACCATATCCAGGATAAATAAGGAAACAAAGCAGGACAGCTTCGCTCTGCTCTTTTTGGGGAGCCACACAAATGGCTTTCACATCAAGGAACACAGGATTGATGGAAACTTAGCAAGTTCTCTCCTATTCCAGGCGCATCAGCAAAGGAGCCCTTTCACAAATATAAAGGGGCTTTGTCTTTAAGGCGACACCAAACAAAGTAAACAAACAGCACCACCATCACACAAACAACCAAATTCTGCTTAATCTAGCTCCACAGATGTAGGCTCAGCTGTCTGAGGTTTTATGAAGGGGTAAGGACTGCTCTATTATCAACAGCCACAGTCTATTTCCCATGGGACAAAGGCATCACCTTTTTAACCTACAAATTTCGTGTGGCGGAAACATTTTTGGCACAGGTAACTTTCAAGCTGCCTTAGCAACATCCCCATCAATTAGTAGCAAAGGACAGTAAAACTGGCCCTCCCTGGAGAACCCTACACCACTCCTGAGAAACTGCTTCTGTTATGCACCACTTATGTCCAACAGCCTTAAACACTTACTGCTTAAAAAGTGAAGTGAGTAGAGACATTAACTCTGTTCTCAGCCTCTTAACATATCCCCTACCAATCATCTCTCCCTGCCACCTTCCCTCTCTCATATGCCATCTGTCTTTAGGCTAGTCTCTTTGCAGAGATTGATACAAATTCCTCACTCCACCTTTAGCATACTCTGAGTCACACAGCCCTGGGACAGGGATTTTGTTTGGTACACATAATACACAGGGGACAGGGGTACCCCTGCAAGGGCAGTCACTAAAGGGACTTTCAGTGTCTTTTTAGGTCAGAAGAGATTATCTGTTTCCTAAGTCTGTCAGCCCACAGGCAATTCTCAGACCCTTACAAAAGGAACAAACCTGCAGCCCACTTCTCTTAATACTGGCCCATCTTGGTCTCTGCAGAGACATTCTTTGCTCCAAGCCTTAGAGAGGGTTTTTTTTTCCCCGCCTCTGAAAGGGAAGGTGAAAGGAGCTTTTTAGTTCCTTTTAACAGAGTATTTGGTTAACACTGTCCTTCTGCTCCACAGCTGAATGCTTTACTCCTGCTATCAGACCAGACTACCAGGCATACAGCTCTCCATCAGCCTAGATACCACTTCTGACCTTGTGATAGCTATATATATATATATGTATAAAAACACACGCACACATATATATATGTGCATATGTGTGTGTACATATGTATAGGTATACACACATACACACCCTGGGAAGACACCCCACCATGCGAGGATTCATACATTGGATGGTTTACCATCCAAAATGAAGGAAAAGAGAAGCCACAGGCAGGCCTTCAAATTGCAGAGAGGGAAGACAGGACTCCAGCCTCTCTGATAAAGACTGTACTGGTGACAGAAAGAGAGGACCTACCTGCTCTGCTGGGCCTGCAGCTCCGTTGTGCAGCCTGCTGTTTGTGTCACATGTATCAGCAGAGTAACCACTGCTGTGGCTCGCTGGACAGACAGCTCAAGCATAGGGCTCTTCTCATGGTAAACGCCAAGCAACTCAGGCAGGGACTGCAGAATCCTCACCAGCACAGGGTAGAGATCTCTGCAGTACGGATAGCAGAGTGAACCACAATACCCCCACCCTCCCCCCCAAAAAACCCCCAAAATGAACAGACATGGAAAAAAGATGGAATGATGGTATCCTTTCTTTGCCAAATAACAGCTGAATGGGACCTACCTAATACTCTGCCTCCAAGCATTTTGAACTGGATAATCCCTTCGAAGAAAACTTTTATTTTATTCCTGTTTCCCTAGTTCTCAAATTCTTGCCCAAAGTAACCACAAGTTAGAACCATGCAAATTTAACTTCTTTTTCTCCTTAGCGTTATTTAGGATTTAAAAAAAAATATTACATATAATTTTTACTCTTTATTACTAACACCCCTTGACTGGGTTGAAGAACTCTTTACAGCAGTATTTTCAGAAATCCTCTCTTCTGAAATTTAGTACGGGCCTTCCTTTTACTTCTCTTCAGGTAACTCCATAGCTACCTTAAGGGTTCCAGGTCAGTGCAGATACAGGAAGAAGATTCAGCATCTGAGGTAGGTCAGACTTACCCCAGTGCTGACCTTGAAGGTCAAGGACGAGAGCTTTGATTTTGTACTGAACTGAAAGTCGATGCAGAAAGAGTCTGTCTGCTTCAACTTGCCCTACTTAGCATGCATGTTGGTGACTGCTCTCCAGACTGCCTTCAGGTCAGATTCAACCCTACATGTGCTGTAATCAGAGTGTCTTGAGGTCACACAAGCACAGGTTATTTGTGCTTCTAGGGGAAAAAAGACACAGCCCTAAAAAGCTAGGGTGATCTTCCTTAATACAGAGATGAAACAACAGAATACCAGCACTTAAACACAGCAGATAAAAGTATTCATGCTGAGTTCTTGTCTTTTTCTGCTTTTCTTTTAGGAACTGGGAGTTTTACTGCAGAAGGCTGAGGAAAGCGAGGTAAGACTCCCTGAAGGGAGTGGAGAGTGATCCTGGAGATCTCTGTATTACCCCTTGTAGAATAGGACGTCCATTTTCTCTATTGCACCCCCCCAAACCCACCATCCTCATTTCTCCAGCTTTGTGCTGTACCTATAAAGGTCACAGGCCTGGCTATAGCCAGCAGCCACAGCCCACAGCCGGAAGGCTTCAGTGCTTAGCCTGATGGCTTCTTCCTTTGGCAGAAGCAGATCCAGCGGGTCTTCAGCTATAAATCGACTTAAACAACTCTTCATTTCAAATTTGTTGAGCTGTAGAACAAAAGCAACGAAACAAAACGACACAGAGATATGAAGCATCACTCCATGCCTCAGATCATTAGTCTCACACACCAAAAAAGCTGCAGTGTTCAGTTCAGCTTATTCTAAACTCCTCTGACGCTGCTCAAATCTGTCTTTAGCTTGTGTGAATGCTTAAGGTGAATGCTACAAAGGGTTAACAAATGGTCAATAGCTATTACGAAAGCGGCACATTCCTGGAACGGATGCCTGGCGTTACCAAAATCCTTTCCTAACACAAATCAACTACATCTAAATCATTCCTGACAGTTATTTGTCTAGTCCACCTGCACTCCTGTTTTGAACGCTCTCTACAGCATTTAACTGATATTTTAAATATACACTTATCCTTCTTTAACTAGTCACAAGCAAAACTTTATTATTCAAGTTTATATGTAAAGATATATCTTATGAAAAACACTGTACGCAAAAATACTGAATGGATACTGATCTGCTTTTTAGGAGGTCGTACTAGATGGCTTTCAGCAATCCTCCAACCTAAATCCTTCTATAATTCTGTGTTTATTTTACAAAAAGGATACCTCTGACTATTAATGTTATATGATTATAGGTTTCTGATGCCTTGGAAATGTTCTGAGGTTATTTTAGTCTTGAACTAACCATGATGTGACTCATTTACAGTTCTCTAGAAATAATTTTTACCCTCCCCAACAACAGGATATTTATGGTTAACCATAAGAGAGAGAGCTTCTCTTTTCCCTCTCCCACACATGCAAAAGCTTATGTGCGCTCTGCCTAAGCAAATGAGTTGACAAAGTCCTTTTCACAACACATGGATGTTTTATAGATAGTTAAAAATCCAAACTCTTTAGAATCATCTTGTAGCGAAATCAATGCACAGCAGCAAGAAAGCAAAGGAACTGATGAATCAAGCTATGATTTTTGACACTCCTCCTACAGAACAGAGGGCAAAGTCTAATTTACTTCCAGAGGAGAAACTTTGTTAAGTAAAATAAATCTTAGAACATTCCCATATTGATGATTTCAATTTAGTTTTTGATTAGCTTCCAAACCCATGTTTAAGCGCCTGCCACAAGCTATGTCAGAGCACAACAGAACCAATGCGTGAATGGCAGGAACCTTGTATGCAGTTTTCGCACACCTTGTAAAAACTGGAGATAGAGAGTAAATAAAGTCTGAGATAGAGAGTAAAATTCAAAACATTTTTTTTGTAATGTCCCTAGAGCTCCTTACAGCCTTTAAATATCCTGCTATCCATTATCAGCACATTTTTCTCTGTATTTTATAGCATGGATGGGTGTTCTCCTGCTGATGTTAGCAATTTCCTGGATGGCAATTTATTAGATGCTATTAACAATATAAAACTGAAAATCCTAAGAGATGCCCATGCACTGTATTGGGTGCTGCTATTGGTAGATATTATGCATGTATAGCACCAATGTGATGACCTATATGAGTGAATACAATTGTCTCTGAAGGGGAAAACCTGTCCAGAAGTGGATAAGAGAGGTTGGAAATACTGATAAGTGATCTCAGAGTTATTAAAACAAATTCATGACAGGAAAGTTCAACTAGGACTGTAAAATACAAAGACAAAACCGTACAACCCCTGGTTTAAAAAGTCCTAAGCTGCAGATCAGTGGAACATGGAAGAGTACAGAGCAGTTCACCTGAAAATATGTTCTAAACATCTACTATTTGCCAGTATCACTGAGCTGGGCCACACGGTGTTGTGCAACTGCATCACGTAGAACAAAAACACTGAAAAGCTTGAGCCAGCTCCTCTACTGGTACAGTGGCAGAAGGCAACATTACTCTGATACCATCAGCAATTCCTTCAAAACACACATATGCACCTTCCTGACAAAAGTTATTTTAGCTTCTTTACTCCACTTCCCATTCTGTCTTCCAAGTGATTTTTAAAGTTTGCCTGCAACTAGCAGAAGACAGCTATGGGATGCAGAGACTGTGGGGCTAGGACCTACACTATGCTCGAACTGTTTGCAAGCCTAGAGTCACAGAATAGATGAGGTTGGAACAGATCTCTGGAGATCATCTAGTCCCACTCCCCTGCTTCAGGCAGGGCCAAACTGAGCAGGTTGCTAAGGACCGTGTCCAGTTTGGTTATGAATATATTCAGGGATAGGAAGTCCACAACCTCCCTGTGCAACCTGTGATAGTTTTGACAGTAGAGGTTTTTTCTTATGCTCAAGTGGCATTTCCTGTATTTCAATTTGTGCCCATTGCTTCTTGTCCTTTCACTGGATCCCACTAGGAAGAGTCTGGCGCTGTCTTCTTTACTCCCTCCCCTCAGGTATTTTTATACACTGACAAGATTCTCCCCCGGGCTTTTTCTTCTCACAGCTAAATAATCCCAGCTCTCTCAGCCTTTCCTCATATGTCAGATGCTCCAATCACTTATTCATTTTAGTGGCCCTATTGCTTCACTTCGCTCCAGAGTGGGATTGCAGTTGGAATCCTGACCAATCTCTCCCAGTCCCATGTGCATTGGGCATGTCTGAATCAAGCCCTTCAGCTCAGAATAACCTCCAGTTAATTCTGTATGTAGAAGGCAAGACACAGAACATGGGCCTTTGCCATCAGAAAAGCTCTTTCAAGAATCACTCACCAGCCGGGCCGTTGCATTTCGGCCTCCAGATGCCAACACCCTGATGAACTTCATAGCACCGGCACAAGGAACACCATGGACACTGGCGAGTAAACACCCTGGTTCAGCCACTCGGGGATCCCACTGTGTGGGGAGAAATTCCCTGACAATGGTCTCGATCAACCGAGGACAGTCAAGCAGCTGCAGAGGAACAGCAGGCAGCACAAATAACTACAGGGGAACAATACTGGCAGCAACACATGCAGAATATCAGCCTGTCTAATTCCCTTACCATACCTTCACCTGCTCCTCTCCTCCCTTTCTCAAACTTTTTTCCACCATTCCTGAGCTCCTGTACAATGGGAGATTTACCTGGCTGCATGCCTCAGAGGAGTGCCTTGCTATGTGGGTGAGGATATGCAGGATATCCAGGACTACTGTTGGAACAGGTCGTACCACCTCAAGGATGTATCTCAGCCGGTGCTGGATCCGCGTCTTCAAAAGTCCCTGGAAGAGAGGGGGGGGGAGGGGGAATTTCATTACGCTCCTAATGCTTGCTCCTTGCACTGCAGCTGCTAGGAGGCAAAAGCAGATTCAATTCTTCCGCAGAGAAAAGGTTTTTAAATCACCACTGGGGAAACAAAGAGACAAATTTCTGCTGATTTGCCAGCATGCAAGCAAACAAGCAGAAGTTACCTCAAGAGAGCAGGAACATCTGAACTTTTGTTCCAAATTAGACCGCTGGTAGGGTTTGGATACTTTTGTTTTTCAGAGGATGAAACCATGAGTAAGTGACAGGGAACAGGAAAATAATCTTTCTTATAAAGGACAATTAAAACCTAATGTTACTGGAAAAGGTACTCGGGCTCTTTTTTGACCTGCCTATCACTTCCACTAAATTCAGCACTCTTTCTCTAATGCTGACAGTACCTGCTACCTCAGAGAAAGCTGACAGAAACCAAGAACAGACACTTATTCCTATTTTGCAGTAGGAAAAGGGAGATGTAGAAAGATGATGTGATTTTTCCTGGCTCAGAGAACAGACGACCACGATCAGTGACAATACTACAAAACAAATTTAACCGACAGCGTTATGCATTCCTAGTTCTTAGAAAAGGCAACTCCACAGCACCTGGGTTCGGAGCGCAAATACTTTTTTAAAAAAGTTGCAGCAGGGTAACTTTGTAGTTCTAGGCCTGACTGAGTTCAGCTACTGGTTTAAATATTCCTTTTCTGACCGCCTGGAGTAATTGGGTTGTACCAGCCAATAAGCAGGTGTAAAATAGAAGCATACAAAAAATGGACAGCAGAGAATTTTATCCCGAATCTCTTCTGAGCTCAGGCTACTTGGAACAGGTTAAAATCCAGTATGCTGAACCACACAACCATCTCCAGAACCACAGATTGATTTCATCTCTTCTATCGATACCTCTGCTGTTACGTCTTTTAAAACACTGTCAGTGTCACTGAGTAGAACTGATCTGAAATCATGAAGCCACTAAATGAGACCAGATGCCCAGGTAAATTACTGCATCTGCCCAGTGAAGCTTATAACCAAGTGCCATTCAAATACAGGCTCAAGCAGTTCCGGGTAGGTGATGTGATCACAGACTTCTGTGCAGCAGGCAAAAGCAGTTGCCTCAGCACCACCTACAAGGTTGGGTTTGAGAGGACAAAGATGACTACGTTCAGTTCTCATATCAGGAATGTGGAATTAGACTTAAATATATGAGGAATTCCTACTAAAGGTTATAATTTTTTTTATCTTAATGATGTAAACATGAAGAATGCAAATATGAAGGGGGAAAGTAGCTACTTTATGCCAAATAGAAAAGGGAACATCAGTGTGCAAGTCTAACTAGTTCAGAGCTATCCAGGCTTAATGGTCATGTCTAAACTTTGCAATAATGCATACAGACACTTTAATAGTGACTGAAATATTTTCACTTGGAATTCAAGGAAAGTGAGCTTGAAAACCACGTCTTATATGCACTGTTTCAGCAAGTCTGGAACAAAAAAAAAAAAGTGTATCTGCATATATATGTGTCTACATCTATCTCAAGGTCATCTGTACGCTTGTTGCTGATTTCCCCAAAGGAAATTAGAGATGGTTAGTGATACCGAAGCCACAGGTCAAATCTCAACATTTTCAGAGGTCAATAAAATTACCCTTCTGGTAATAGATGACAGCAACATAATAACCAACAGTGAGGGAAGAGTTCTAATGCTTGTTCAGAATGCTCCAATAATGTCCACAGGAAGGTACAAATTTCAACAGCACACACAGCCATTGTGCAGAGCGTATTTTCCTAACAAGATTTCAGGCCTTGCTCTGCACTTACTTTTACAACATCATATCGGGCCACATCTGGATCTGGCTTGTTTTCATCTTTTAATTTTTTGTCTTGAGACTTCTCAGTTCCAGTTAGTTCATCCTCTTCATCTTCTTCTTCCTCCTCATTGTTGGGGACAAAGGGGAATGCAGCCATTCCTTGATACCATGAGAAAGTCCAATCAAGATATTTCTGTAAGGAGAGGAGCATGTAAAATAAAATTTTCACAAAGAAATTATGGAAGAGAAAAATTTTTCAAGAATACTTTTGACTACAGAATGCTTTACTGATTCCCACCTCCCTCCAGGAAAACAGAACACAATACATGGTATTCTAAACGCGTACAAGTAAGAGGCAATGGTTTTTCAGGGAAGTTATTTTAACCTACGACCCACAGACACTTGGGAACCCATGAAAAGCAATTAAGAAAAGTAATTCTATTGTGAGGTGAATTAAATTCACCAGACAGGGAACAGACATGCATCTTATCTGGAAAATGTTTAAGATAAAAATTAAAAAAAAAAAAGAACTCAAGGGCTCTAGAGGTTAAACTCTACATTCATTAGCCTTGTTCCTGTGTCTGGCCCTGTGCAGAACTTGCATGGGTCACAAATAATGAAGAATGGTCATGTTCAATTTCTTATGTTAAAACAAACACTAGCCAATGCATTTATTCACACTTCTCAGCCTTTTTTTCTTCCTCCAACTTCCCTCAGCTTCAGAAAAAAAAAAACAAACAAAAAAACCCCAAAATTTTTTTGTTCAGAGTCCATGACATTTTCAAAAACTCTCAAGTTCTAGGGCAGCACTGCAATAAATTAGCTTTCAACTCTGAAGAGAAGGGATTGTGACTAAACCAGACCTATACTTTCCCCACAATGTTTTAGAACATGAAAACTAATTTGTTTATTAACTTTAATCCAATGCTTGTGCTACTTAATAGCTGCTTTAAATTTCCTGATCTGATAATCAGAAATAATCACCCTATTATTCAGAAAAAAAGTGGTAGACTTCAGCTAAAGTTTGAGATTTTCTTGAAACAAATGAAAGATGCCAAGTAGTTGCAAGTTACCAGACATGAAAAAAATTAAAGTTGAAAAGCAAATGAATGGTATAGTCGGAAGAGGCTGGACATAAGGGGATGGAGCTAGGAGTCCATCTAAAATACTGAGTTTAGAACTACAGTCTTCATTCCACTAATGGAGGAAAAAGTCAAGACAGTATCCAGGTCTTCAGAGGAAATAAAACCAGAAAGGTACTTCCCATAGCCATTGACCACTGAAGGAAAAATTTAGGCAACATTTTTCATGTGCTGATCTTCTGTGTATACAGAAGGGATAAACACCGTTTGTCTTACAAAACCCAGCGTAAGAATGTCAACTTCCAACCCTGCCCCTTCCTCACAGATAGATACCTTCTGAAACTCAACGGCATGAGAGTATAGGAAGGACTCTTCCAAATGATGAAATACGCTGACACAGCACTTAGTGCTGCTTTTGGCATACAGAGTCAGCAATCCCTTCTTATATAAGGCACTGCACCACAAGTCTTGAGCTAAGAATACACAGAGCACTGCAGACAGATGCAAATTAAAGTAACATCAGAAGGGAAAAAAGGCATGTTAAAGGCAGTGTTCTCTGGGAGAACACTACTAGGCATGTCGCTTAGAAAAGGAGTAAGATGCGGGAGAAGCTTCCCAATCCTTTATTTCCCTTGCCTCCTCACTAAGGATAGTACTGGTGGCCTGGGAGAAGTTGCAGGAAACTTCTTGAAATCTGCCCACTCTCTCCCCCAGTAGCAGTCTCTTTGCAGCCTGACACACGAGCAGCTCTCATGGAAGGAATTTCAAACACAGGCCGCAGCTTGCTTTGCCCATAGTGGTCTGCTTCTGCCCAACCAGGAAGACACACAAATCTTGCTGCTCAAGGTTATTCAGTATCTCTGAATACCCAAAAGAAGCTTCAGCCTTTTGACAGGTGAAAAAGCACCAAGGAGAAAACAGATATGTGAGAAGGGAAAGTGGGTATTTATTAATGTAACAAAAAGCATGCAAGAACAATAGGAAATGGACAATGAGAGGAAGAGAGAATCAGGCATGACAGGAAACAGGAAGACTATTTAGTCACTATCTGTTCAGAAGCAGGAAAATTGCAAAGCAAGAAGCCAACAGCATAAAAAGCCATATTGAAAGAACTAAATACTACACTTATATTCATAGTGACATGATATTGATCATAAAGAACTCTGACGGAAGAGAACCTCAGCAGCCGGCGCTGAATTTGAACTTGGGGAGAGCTAATTCAAACAGGAGAACAGAAGTCTGAATCTCTCCGACTAAGATAACACATGCCTTTGTCCCAAAGTGCAGCAATAGCGTTCTGTTGACCACTAAGCTAACCTGTCCAGCAAGCTTCCTTTGAGCTACTTATCTCATCTTTTCCTTCTGATTCTGGTAACCAGCTCAGTATGAAATCAACATGGGCACTTAATGATTCTCTTACCTCATCATCCAGTGACACCAGCAGAGCTCGGAGAGCAGCAACAGATGCTGCCATGACATTATCCACTGCATCGTCCAGGGAGAAGCGCAGCAAGAAGAGAAACCCAGCATCAAGGAGCAGACGCAGAACACTGCCCTTCAAGGAGGAAGTGAACTCCCCAGCCCTGGACTGAAACATAGGCCATACAGAGCCAGCGTTACAGCTGTCTCCTCTCAACCAGGTACATATCAACATTCTGTGTACTGGTCACTTCCCATTTTAATTGTAAAAGCAGCTAAACTGTGTACTGTCAGCATAACAGGCTGCTCTGCCAGGTAAAAGCTGTTCCCCAAGGAGACTGCAACATTACCTATGGGTGCAGGACACTTTTGAATCATTCAGTCACAAGCAGTGATATGAAAGGGCAAAATAAATGCTTATGATCTCAGAGGCCCTGGAAGACCTACAGTTGCAAGTAATGCAGTAAAACCCGCTTAGATACCATAAAACTGAGCACCTGAGCCACATTCTGAACACCTGCTGTTTTCATTGCACTTAGTCTTCCACACTAGATCTTTGATCACTGACTGATCCAGACTACCCACATTCCAGGGCTGCCCCACATGGCAGGCATCACAAATTGCTGAGCACTCAAATGTGTATGCCAGAAGAGATAGACTTTAAGGAACATTATCTACTACTGCACGGCCCTTGTTTCTGCGTTATGTGCTTCCTCTTCTTCTCTACATAGAGAGAGAGCGCGAGCGAGCGCGAGAGAGAGTCGTGTACATGCCCCAAGAGCAGTTACAATGCGCAGTCTTGAACCCACCAGAACACTCACCCTGCTTTACATGCTATAAACATCTCTCTACATTTACAATTCTGTGACTCCAGGGAAACCCAGGAAAAAAGAAAGTTTTAAAATAACTTCATATTCCAATGATATTTCAGCAACTTGCTTCCATAATTCACACCTGGTTTAGGGGACGAAAGTTTCTTTTTTGCTTAGATCAATCAAGCTCTGACTAATCCACAACCATCCCACTATAGTAATAATCATAATAATCACTTTTCCACTAATTTGGAGAGGGAATATGGGGATAATAGCTATTTCCTATACAAGGGGAATAAGGAAATTATTAATTTCCTCTTCTCATCGTTCTAGAAGACGACTCAACTCCAGTTCCTTATTGCAGGAGATGTTTCTTTCTAAAATTGGGACCTAACTTCTGACTTTACCCCATTCTGCCCCATCTTTCCTCTCAAGATCACTGTTTCTCCTTCTCTGCTTCCCTTCGTGTTAGAGGGAAGGTTTGCACTTTGCCTGAGAGCTAGGTGGAAAGGTGCATAGGTGGAGATAAATATTCGTTTTGCTTTACGGTGTTGGCACTTTGCTATAAGAGTAGGCTGGTTCATTCTCAACCTCCTACAGAACAAGCACAAGCTTCAAGTCATGAAGCTGGCTCAGGCAACAGGAGTGGAAGGGTCATTGCCAAGGATACGTTTGCAACAAAAGTAACCAAAAAAAAAAGTTGTAATAACTTGTGTTCAGAGAAATAATGAAATGAAAGCTGCAGCACTGCAGCTGAACAACATTTGGAAACATATGCTTCCAAAAAAACAGACTCTCTGAAAAAAAAAAAAAAAAAAAGTCCCAACACTGTTACCTTTCTAATAGTGAAGAGACTGTAAAAAGAATGCCTCCTAGTGATTTTGCTCACATTGACTGAATAGTCGAAAGCAAATAACTAGTACCAGAGAACGTGAGCCCTAATCCAACAGGAGCTTGAATTATGGGGAGGAATTCCACAGAAAGTCACTTACCTTTTGAACGATACGACCCAAAACCTGTAGAGCCAGGGTCCTCTGTTGAATAACTTGGCTGCGAGACAAATGAAAGAGTTCTTGGAGAGAATAACCAGCCCTCTAAATGGAGAGGGAAGAAAAATAAATACCAGAAGACCAACAGAAAAGAGCTATAGACAAAAACAGGCCCCTTAAAATAAGACCAGCTGTAAAAAACTGCATAACAGGAGAAACTGCAATGCAATGTTGTTTGCTGCTTTGTGTCAATTGCCAGATTGTAGTTAGCAATTTGACAGGAGAAAACTGAACTTAAGAAAAGGAGGCACATGCATCTTCTTCCAACACCACAGATCCTGAATGGCATTGAAAACAAAAAGCAGTAATGGAGTTTTCTGAAAGCAGACAAAGCAGTTAATGCATGCAGACCCACTTCTCTCCAGCAGCCTGTTTGAAAAGGAAATCATCTGTCCACACTTTCCTAAAGTTTCTGTCACTAAAAAGCTTTTTACACAAAAGGGATCTGATAAATGGAACACAGAAAACTGTGTACTCTTTGCTTTCTGTTTTATTACACCTACCTCTGCCTCCTCTCCATGGTGATGCAGGCCTAAATGAGTAGGTAAATCAGCATCTGCAGGAATCAATTCTCCCTTCAAACTGAATCGAGCTTGCATTCCCTACAATAAAGGGGTGGAAGGAGAGAAAGTTTACTTCTTTTGCCTTCTGCTCCATCCAACGCTTAAAATAACACTTCTTAAATCAACTGCTGGAAGCTGGCAGCTCAAAAATTCCTCAAAATCTTTTAGGATATGCTCTCAATTTTTTTCTCCTTAGCTTTCAGACCTGTTACTCACAGATTACGGTTGCCAGACTCTCACTTCCTAGCACTCTTGAGCACTAGAGACAGGACTGACCGTGGCCCATCCCGTGGAAAAGACTATGGGATCTCTCAGCCTGACGAAGTCTTACAGGCTGAGGAACCAGAAGACTTGTTTATGAGGCCTTCAAAATTTACTGCTGAGAAAGATGAACCACATCCCACGAACAACCTGAAAAAAATCAATTTCTGCTTTCAAACCTTTCTGGTTTTCTTCTGCCGGGGTGGAGGCAAATCTCTCATCCATTCCAACTTCTCGAACTCCACATTATCCATGTGGATCCATTCCTTCTTGGGCTTCACAGGCAGATCGCCTTCTTTGGGAAAGAAAAAAAACGTGGCCTTACCTTCCAAGGCAGAAACTAAGAAAATACTGTTTCCCCCTCTGACAACCTACTTGGCTTCAAGACGGCATCAAATACAGGATTCATGTAAAGAAAGAAGAAAACAACTTTGAAACTGCTGGTTGGCTGACGCATAAACATCAAAGATTTAAAGCTGTTTTAATCTTTCACGAGAGCTAGAAGAGGAAGTAAACAGCTCTAATGAAATTCACAGACAAGTCTAATTTGGGAGAAGTTGAACAGAAGTCAGGAGACAAATAAGGCAAAGAGATCAGAACCTGGGCAGAAAATTAATATTAGCCCTACTTTTGGGAAAGGCAAACTAATATCATCAAAGCAAGAGGAAGGAAAGGAAGAAGGGAGCATGTGTGTACGTGTGAAACAATTCAAAAGAAGCAGCAATGCACAGAGATCAGAGCAAGTTATTGGCCTGGAATTAAGTACGGTTTTAAAGATGCTAGTACAATTTCAATCTAGATACATTGAAGAAAGTGGCAATACTACTGCTCAGGCTTCCATGGCACTTGCATTATTTTCCCTTGTTACAGGTCCCTCTAAAGGTTTGAGGAGATCGACTTACAAGGAAAAGATCAAAACAGCTAAAAATACACACAGCTAGCCTGAGAAAAAGCTCTGTGGGGAAGCTCAACAGTTGAGCAAGAATTTGAAAGGTGCAAGCACTAAGGGAAGAGATATGCTCAATGAGCATAACAGAAAGAGCTCTGACTAGAAGAATTTGAGAAACGAGACATTTATGACTGACATCATGAGACATGCTCTAGGAAAGAGATAGATCAGCTTGTGGAAGAATCTCACAAGAGAAGGGCAAGTTGAGACTTAACTGGAAGCTACCTAAACAGTAGCAAAGGTGAAGCTTTGCTACTAGGAAACTATCCCATACTGGCTTGAGAAGAGATGAGAAGTCTTAGCTATTTCAAGAGAAATCACACATACGGACAGGAACAGGCACTGTGATCGGCAGACTGAGGGCATGAAAAGCAACACCCTCACTCCCACTGGAGCAAAACAAGCTCAGAATTCCTTTGCACTGCAGCTCTTAATCCTAGTGCTCTAGTCTTCTCTTGCAAGAAACAATGAACCCCACAGAGGTGCTCTTCGTTCATCAGATCTTTTCCCGCAGATAATGGCCTGCAACTCAACCTTTTACTTTCCTCCAATTAGCAGATAAATTTTCAGGAAGAGCACTCATTACACGTAGGATGCAGCTTCACCCTTATGATCAATGTGGCATTGAGTCAGGCAAGGAACCAAGCACAGAGTTATCTTCCCCAGCCAGAAAGCTGTTCCACAGAATTTCAGCCAAAGGCTTAGCACATGTTTTAATTGAAGAGAAGACAAAAAGCATCTGAAACGTAAGGAAGTGGAATGTTTGTGGGTGGTGGGTGCAAAACCACAGGAAATCAAATTTTGTAATTCAACAAATTGTTTGTTCCTTCTCCATTAATCATTAAATTGATAGGGTTGAGTTAATCATTCTATGAATAGGATTACGCATATTACCATCAGCCCCTAGCATTATGATCTTGTCAACAAGAAAAGACAGATACATGTTCCAAGGCACCAGCAGATTGTTCAGTTGCTGAGAAATCCCTTTACAGAAAGGCAAGCTGGCAGTCAGCAACATTTGTCCTGAACTTTTCCAGACTTGCATTATATTAAAGGCTACCAACTAACCTCTTTCCTCTCTGCTCTGCTTTCCCTTTTGTCCCAGTGCCAAGATTTACTTTTCCATTTGATAAGATTACAGTTCCTGGACAAAGGCTTCAGTATCTTGTTTATTAGAAACAGCAGTCTTTTATCTCATTAGAGAGGCAGGTTTGACTTTTGAGCAATCTTGTTCCTTTATGTCATCATCCTCTCCCTTGGGAGATTCAGAACAACCATTTCTGCTGGGTTATTCACGATGAGTTTACTCCCGAGCACTAACAGATGCAAAATCCCAACACTAAGTGGTAATGTAAAATTAATATTTTACCTCTCCTGCTGCCCAAGATGGGCTGCAGGCATAAACTCAGGTGCTGGGAAGGCTTTCCTTGGTTTTGCAGCTGTGTTTCACCTCATTCTTTCTTCGCGATTTGAAATCTCCTGGGAAAATTCCCCTTTTCCTCTCCTGTGCAGTCTTCCATGGGAAGTAAAAGATGTTGTCAGCACACGGCACTCTGAACACTGAGCTACTCCCAAGAGCACCACTACAATCTTGTTCAGTCTTTACAGGCCTAACAACCCACTTCTACCACTCCCAGGTGAGCAAAAGAACGTCACTTAATTTAGTGCTACTTGCGCACTCAATTGTTCTGGAACTAAAAGACAGTCCTTTTGATTAAGATGGATTCAGGGAAAAGTAAAACTTAGGGAGAAACAGTAAAACAACTGTTGAGTGAGGTGTTTTCTTCAAATTTTCCTTCCCCTGCCTGTGTATGCACACACATATACAAATACATACATACATGTTTATACACACATATATACACGCTCACCCAACCTTCTTATCAAGGAAGTGGTAAATGGTTGTTATCTCTCACAAACACCAAGCTGAAATTCAGGAGTGATTCAGAGGCCTCTTTAGTCAGCCTGCATGGTGCACTGGGACAAAAAGACTGCATCAGAAATGAGGATCAAGAGATGAAGACAGCCAGAGAGCAACATGAAAATGCAGGAGAAGCACGCTACTGAGAGAGATACATGTTACAGAAACAGAAGAAAGCGTGGGGGAAAATGAGAATGGGAACCTACCATCATGACAAAGAAAAAGATACGGCTGAAAAGAAAAATGCAGGGAAGAAAGCAACAATGAGAGCAGAAGCTTAAGGAGAAAGTAATTCTGTTCTCTGAGAAACTGCCCTGAGGAGGTAAAGGTTGCTCTAGCTGCCTGGGATAAAGCAGCTTTCTCCTGTGAGCAAAAAAAAAAAAAAAGCAGGACCAGCACAGGCAGCATCAGTGGCGACTTCCTTAGCATGACTGGAACAAGGGGACAGCTGGCAATTATACGTAGTTAATTAAGCGAGAGGGAAACCTGCCCAAAAATAACTGAGCAAACACTCAAGTCACTTAAAAGGGGGAATAGGAGATGCAAATAATATGCAGAGACATACAGGCAGGCAATCTCAATGGATCCAGTAACCATATGACTGTTCTGACCTTTACTTTTCTGAGGAGACCAAGATCCCTCTTTTGTACTGGTGATACTGATAACTTTGCCTTCTACTTGGAAAGAGGCCAAACCAAATTTTATGAACTGTGAAGACCAATTCTTCCCAGCTCCTCCTAAAGGAGTGCGGAATTACTCCTGCTATTGGCTTGCCTATTTCAATTCCCCAAGGAACGGGCAGCAAAAGGATACTTTTTGCCCTGCCTTCAGAAAGACAAAGGAAAACGAGTTTTGACTGGGGGAGCTCGTAAGCTGCAAGTTAGAGGCTTTCTAGAAGGAGAAGGCAGAAGAAAGGAAGGTATGGAGCGTTTGTGGAAGGCTGAAAATGATACAATACTGAGGTGACATGGGACATCTGTCACGCACCATTTAGAGCATTTAGGATTGTTGTGTGCATGTCCTGACTTTTCACGTGCTTTGTAGCCTAAGCAGGTACTCCGTACAGGGGCAGCCAATTCACTGCAAACGCAGTACAGAATGGAACTTTGTAAGCAAAGCGGACAGGCTTGGGATCTATGTCTGGAGGCTGCAAGCAAATAGATGAAATCACCAGTCAGCCTGAACATCGTTTTCAGATGCAAAGACAGAAAATGCCCAGAGTGAATGAGCACACAGTAGCCACAGGGCTGATGCCAGCTGGAAAGCTAAGAAAAAGATTTCTACTAGCAAGCTTCCACATCTCCATCCTTTTACATGCTCAGTCGCTCCCTTGCGACATCAAAAGATACAAGACGTAAGAATCGACTGCAAGATTGAGTAATAGTGTTCTGTTGCAAAAGGCAACCACTCTGCACAGGTCTTCCAAAAGAGCAGAGAAACACTCTGCCCCTCAATATTTCCCTCCTTCCATAGCATACGAGGACAAGAGCTGTATCCTTTGGAAATCACTGCATGGGCTGAGGTACAAGCCACACAGTGAGGCCATCGGGAACAAGCTCACAATGGGACGTATGTGTGACATGAGCAAATTCACTGAAACAAGATTGACTGACATCTCCATGCTATCTTGCGAACAAACGAGCAACTTTTTTTTTTTTTTTTAAAAGGGGGAGCTACCCAACACCCTCTTGTCCCCAAGAACTCCCCAGTTAAAAGCAACTATTCAAGCAGCAGCTCCATCTCACCACCACGCTCTTCTGCTTCCCTGCTTACATGACAAAATGGAAAAGCAATGGTGCTTACTGTGTCAAACGTTTTCCCTCCAGGGACCTTGGAATGAATCTCAAAAAACAAGCGAGATCTCCCACTGCACAGATCACCTCTGTTACACAGAGTATCACCTTTCTAATCCATGGAGCTCAACTAAAAATAACATGGATGTTCTCACTTGGACCCAAATACAATTTTATTTTTTAATATTGTGACAAAACTGATTTGGATTGTTAACAAAGGGCCACAGAACTCCAAACTGGAATGATTCAAGCACCATACAAACCTTACTTTCATGTTCAAAGCGTTAACAACATGCATTTTGTTTTTTACCTGTGCTTTCTACTTTTTCATTTTCTTCCTTCGTTACAGATTCTTCCATGTCTGATCCCTGTATGGAAGGAGATGCTCCTACACCATGTTGAGGCACAGTTTCCAAAGACTCCTCTGGCCCGTCCCGCTCCTTTTTTAATTCCTTTTTCTGGCCTTCATCACCATCACGTCGTGACTTTAAGAAAGCAACTAAACTGGAATCTGCAAGTATTGACAAAGAGACAGACAGAGAAGTGGCAAGAAATCTCAAAATACTTCATACGCCCAGCTCCTGCTATTTATGTTTTTGCCTTTTCACTTCCATTCCACATACCCTCTCTTCTGTGCCAGCTGTCATTTCTTTGAGGCACTTAACTACTTCATGGCCTCTTGATCACATAAGCTGGGGACAACTGACTGGTGAAATGACACCATAGAAATCACTTATAAAAGTCTTTCAAGGTAAAGCAACGACAAAAGTTTTTATTTATTCTCCTGACTTACAACGGGAAACAGAATTGCTTCTTTCCTCTCACTGCTACTGGCAAGCTACATCCATAGGAGACTATTCATCACGGAGAGAATTTTGGTCTGTGATTTATAGGCTGAACCCAGGTATGACAGTCTGCCTACCCTGCCTGTGGATTGCTCAATGGCATCAATCTAAAGGCTACAAGAATACACAGAAAGGCATCACAAAAAGATTTACCTACTCTTTATTGAATTGCACCAGAGCTGCAGCGTAAGGTCTAGATATTAGCTTAGGAGGAAGAGATTTCTTGTTCCTTCTGAACTGACTCCCCATCCTGACAGTTAATTATGGTCTGACAACATCCAGAAAACGTAAGTGGTCATTCATTTTAGAGGGGAAGGGGAATATTTGGAAGGGGGTGGTGTTTGGAGGACAGATAATATTCCTGTGACTCTAAAACAGGGCAGTGTCAGAACATTATAATCTTAGTTTCAGATCTACCACAGATATCCCACATTTTTTCCAGCAAAGCATATTTTCTCCTTGCATTCTCCATCTAGAAGACAGTGTTGGGATGTTTGTGCCAGAGAGGAACAGGAAGAGCCTGTGCATTGTGTCTAAAGTGTACAGAGATCCCCTGATAAACTATGTCAGGGACGTGAAAAACAACAGTTAGAATATAACAACTACATCTGTTATTTACTCTTTGGAGGACAAAGGACACAAGCTATCCTCTGTACCTGAGAGAAGTCACTCCGAGAGGAAGTGACATTCATGTCTCTGAAACAGTTTAAAGAGGATGCATGGATCAATCCTACACTACTAATTGCTGCACACTCCTTATGGGCAACAAGAAGAACCAGCAATGAGGTCAAGATAATTAATATCATCTATAAGCTTAATCCATAAGGGACTTATGCATCTGAAATGCCATTCATGCCTGAATTTGATGCTAGAGTACCTGAAACAATGAAAACTTCAAAATCACTGGTCTAACACCTAAATTGTAAGTGCCTGCTTTTCTTGAGTACGCAAAATCACTGAAACTAATGCCAGGAAGCTTTACATGGCCCTAGAACATGCAGAGACCTATCAAACACATGACACCCAATGTTCTCCTCTATCCTGTCTTCAACCCTCACTGACAGGCATTCCCAAAGCACTATGCAGACAGGACTCTAGAGACCAGACCCCAGTTAGAAAGCCTGCACCCAACAGGCAGAGGATTAGGACACTTTCTGAAGCAGTGTAACACTAGTTTTAAGATTTTCACCCTGTCCAATACAGATTGGAACTGAAATCTCCCATAAGCCACGTTTCCCCTGAAAACTGACAGTTTTCTGGCAGTCGGGACCAAGTACTGGCAGTACTGACAGTTTTGGCCCAAGTTTTAGGTCCTTTGGAAGGAAAGGCCCGACAGCTCTCTAGCACTTTAGCATTGCTATGGCCATCTTAAGGATGGCTTTGCTTTCTTACCTGATTCAATGAATTACATCTTAGGATGACAATATATGCACACGTAACCAGGTATCAGGTGTGCAAAGTAATGGACCGCATGGACAATCTTATCCCACAGCAAAGGGGAGACAAGATTTGGTCTTAGACTAAGCCCTCTCTCACGGAGGCATAAGCGATCTTAAATCTCTTCACATTTAATTCATACTCGCAAGCTACTGACATGAAAAAGAAACTAGAAGATCTAGATATGCAGTGTACAGGGATCCCAAGCTCTCATCTTCGACCTGTATATTTGGTGCATCTTCAGAGCACCTACATATTAAGCTTTAAAACTTCCATGCCTCTAGGAGGATTCATCCAGGGAAGCACATACCCAACTGAGCCAGAAGCCTCTCTCGCTCCTGCAGGATCTCTTCCTGGGACATGGACTGCAGCTTCTCCAAGTTCTCCTTGTGAATAGCCTGAGCTTCCTGCTCACTCTTTTCATTTCCAAGACCCTCTCCCGTGATAATATAGGGCCGCTGAGAGGTCCAGAAGTCAACAGTTTTATCTAGAAGATCCAGCAATGAAAGTGGTTAGTGACTTAAGTGTCTACAGCTTTACCAACTCTTGTGGATGTTGTCATCACCAGGGCTGTGCAACTTCATTTTTTCACCTTATTAGCTGAATTAAAATAGGGGTAAAGAAGCTTAGTTTAGTTGAACTAAAATTAAAATATTTGGCCTTTGATCCCATGCCACAGTAAAACACCATTTTCAAAATGCCACTATTTCTGTAGGGGTATGCAGGGTGAGGGAGAGATATTTTGTTTCTTTAAAGCAAAGCAACAGAAAGAAAGGGCAAACTTAAGTATAACTCACAACAGATGGGCCAGGGCATTCTTCTGGTTAGTGAACATGAGATTCTTTTCTCTGCTGTGGAGACCTGAACCTACATCTTTTACGTCAGCCGAACCATGACCTAGTAAATATTTGCTGAGCCAGAGAATGAAAATAATTCTGTAATCCCGTTTCTGTTGTGATACAGGATCCATTCTCTATTTTATAAAATATTCAGATCTTTCAGAAGCCACAGCTTAAAGCGCACGCCAATGAACAGAAAACAGCAGGAGCTAACAGATAAATTTCTACTACACAGGCACATTTGCCTCTAGATGTTCTGCATTCACCTTTAAGAGCTGAACATATTACAGTTTCTAGCAGGGGGCATTTTTACTACCTTGAGCAAAAACAAGTCTCCTCTATCGCCTGATCTAAATCCTTTTTTAAGGCTCATTCCATTTAACTCTAGCAGCAGGATAACATGCCGCTTTTATCACACTGAGAGCGAGACCCTCCAGCTGGCCTGTAGCTCGCTGTACAAGGACCTGACTTCACATCTTTATTATCACCTGCCACATTAGCTCTATACAGTGACATGGAGCATTCCAAGGACCCCAGACCAGCAAATCCTGAAAATATCAAAGCTTTGTTCAAACAGCAGTGACCACACTCATCACAACATCAATAATGTCTCATGTCATTTCCAGAGCAGTTCAGTCTTGTGTACCGAGCAGGAAGAGGTAAGGGAGTACAGTGGCCTGGATTCACCAAGCCTCCCACTGCCAACAACTGAGTTGGGAGTTAGCAGACAAATACTTCGTTACTACAAGAGAGAGAGCTACTTCCTTTGCTTCTAGCAATCCTCCTGCAAATCCTCTGCCCCAGAAATCTGGGGGAGCAGGCCAAGCCATTTTATGATCCCTCTGGGTTTTAGAAGTGTTCTTTTCTTCCTTCAAGAGGACTGCAGCTGCAGAGCTGCTGTGTTTCCCTTTGGGATATCTCAGGCAGAGGTATGCACGCACTATTGTACCAGGATACACAGTAAGCAATGTCAGACAGGCAGTAATTGATCCAGCAGTGAATTTGTGGATGCACAGCATGGCCTGCTGGGAGCCCGCTTACTGATGCTCTGACAGGGATCAGGTCTGACCGAAAGCTTACACAAACGGCAAAAATCCTCCAATGCCACCTGACCTCCATTTCAATGCGGAAAAGAGGAGGTCAGGGAAAAACCTAAACACATGGTGGTCCTAGGCAGATAAGACTGCCCAAGACAAAAAAAGCGTGGAGATGGTGGTACCAGTTGAATTGGTTTCATCTCTCCTTGTCACGTTGCTGTCAGACAAATAACTGTTGGAGGCGGCACTGACTCATCAGCAGTGCCTCACAGCATTCCTTACGGAGCAAAGCCACAGGCTCATTGCAGAGGATGTAGTGTTAGAAGACTCAGCTTTCAGCTTCTAGGTAGAAATAAGAACCCGTATCCTAGAGGTCTCAACCATCTTCATCAGGCACAAGGAAAAGAATCCCTTTCCTAAACCTGGGGAAATCGTTGAGGAAACAAGAAAAGCTTTCCATGTGGCAACCAGAGAGGATAAGGAGGACAAGAACCTAAAGAAAAATTCCATTTAGTCCTGTGTGTAACAAAAGGAAACTACTGAGAAAGCTGACCCAATTTTCAGAACACTGATTTGGGTCTCAGTTTCAAATCCCCGTCACACCACAGGCATTCCAAATGATCTTGTGACCTGTAAACTGAGGACAAAGTTGCTTCCCTAATTTAAAGAAAAGACGCACAGAACTTAGTGATTAAGGCCATGCAAATACGATAGGCTAGATAAGCAAAACCTCCTCCACTTACCGACACCGAGGCTGGGGAGGGGTGCCTCTCCTTCTGATCCCTCAGGACCCAAGGTACCCACAGGAACTGATCGTATTTGCACGCACTCGGCAGCAGAGGGAGCTGTCGCTGCCTTTTCAGCAGCTCTTCTTGCTGCGATCTTTTGCGCAAAGATGCTTTTTCTTCCAGATCCCACCTTCACCTGCAAGCAGGGAAATTACACGTGTGTCACCACTCTCCTCTCCAGACTCCCTCGCAAACACATCACTAACAAAGGAAAAGATCTGATCCAAAAGACATCCTCAAGTCAGACTTTCAGACATGACAAAAGAGAAATTGCTGGCAGCCACCTGTCCTTTTCTGTGCATGTGCTATTCCTTTTCAGCATATGGTTTAACACTAGGATAGCGAGACAAAAACCAAATGTTTTTGCTGCCTGAAGAAAGATGGTTAATTACAAGTGAATTCAGGCTAGGCAAATACAGCTAAAGTATCACCAAATAAAACAGTTCTAGCTTTCCTGCTGGTTGGGAACGCTGCACAGCTGAATACTTTGCATTTCTGAGGATAAATGGGGCTGTACTATACTCACCACACGCTTGGAACAGGCTTCTTATAAGGTGATTAGACTGCAGCAGGGTGAAGAAATTTACACAGAAAGAAATGGGCAAGTGATGCTAAAATAATCCTGACTAAATTACTGTGCTGCTTATCCTGGTGAAGGAAAGGCAAGGCTCTGAACAGCTCTTGATGGACAAGGAATCCAAAGCAGACTAAGCAAAAAAAGAAAATAAAAAGAGACTCCTGCATGTCCCCATTCCAGAGAAGAAGCCTGAAAGGCAGCCTGAACACTTACTAGCTGCTTTGTGCACTCCTGCGTCAAGTAAACAAAACTGGTGATTTAAAAAACTAATAAGGAGACTAATAAGGACTAATAAGTCCTTCTTTTTAAAAAAAAGAAAAAGAAAAAGAAAAAAAGCTGTCCTTCAAAATAAGCTACCACCTCAAAGCAACCACTGCTATCAATCACATACCATTTCCCAGCATCTGACTCCCACTCACCCAGCAACTTGTGCTATTGCAGTAGCTAGACTGAGGAGAGCAGCCATGACTTCCCGATTTACAGCCTCAGAAGAAATTGTGTGTCAAAATCCAGGAAGCAAGAGATACCAGTGCAACTGCACTCAAATGTCCTTCCAGTAGGAATCAGGTACAACCTGAGTAAGCATAGACTTACCCGAACCTAATGGGCTAATTAGTACATATTGGTCCTCCATGAAAAATAAGATGGAACAGGATCAGTTCTATTACAAGAGGGCAGATTTGATCTGCCTCAAAGTTAGCTGAAGGCATTGCGTTCTTCCTAAACTGAAAGGATTCCAGTATTATTTAACTGCAGGGTATGGACTGCCTACTTGATGGTAGTTTGGTAGGAAAACTTTCTCCTACAATGAAAAGGTGATGCCAGAGAGATGCTGAGCCAGCTTCTTAATTTCCAGCATGAGAAGTCACTTATTTAGAGCCCTACCACTCACCACACGTTAGGCTTTACTGTGAGGAAGTTGTAATAGTATAAAACAGCCACCCACACTCTTACCTCACTTTTTATCGCAGAGCGGTGAAATGTTCTGGGAAACGGGTCTCCACTTGGCACTGGAATGGTCACTGCTACTGCACTTGTGTCCCGTTCCTGCAGATGAAAACTCAAACGCTATAGAAAGCGCCAGTATAGCCAAGGAAATCTATACCACCTCCCCAAGAGGAGATTGAAAAACCCTCAGCTCAGCAAGCCACAAGCTTTCTGTCTACATGGCTGTCAGGCTTAGAACACCTGGTGCTTATTTACAGCACAAGTAAGGTTATCTTCCAAAAGGCTGGACTGTCAAGCTCCCCAGAGTACCCAATGAATCAGATAAAGGAAAACCTGGGCCAGTGCAGAGCAGTGAGAACAGCCCCTTTAGGGAGTCCTGAATTTCACCCAAATCCACACTAGAGCATATGCCTGCATGCAAACAATGTGACCAGTAGGCAGTCTGGTCTGAAAAATAGATTTAGGTCTAGGTTTAATTGATAGCAAAAATACTCCCTGAAAGCTCTTTCTTTCAAGGTGCTCCAGGACACTGGCCTACAGTGCTACAACTGCTTCAATATACTGTAGAAAGAAAAAGCAACAGCAGAATCCTTCATCCCTGTCCCCTGCTCAGTTCACAGCATTCAAAAACACTAGATCACCACATAAAACCCAGACATACAATAATTTTGCTGAAGACCGCTGTGATGTGCTGATCGTGACTCTCCAGTCTTTCCTCTGGATCTTCATCCTCAAAGTGGACGCAGGCACTTTTGATTTTGGATTTTTTTGGAGGAGTTGGAGTTAGAGCTGGGGGAACATCAGGAAAATCTGAGGAGAGGAAATGAACAACTTGTTTTTGGTTTTGTTTTTTTTTTTTTTTTTAATGTTTTATTGCTTTGATGAGACACAAACAAGATGAGGAAGCAATAAGACAATTAAGAGTCCTCTGTATCTGACTTGCACTGGGTAATGGAGAGTAACATGCTCAAGAATTTTATTATTTATGCATTGGCATCAAGGTCTTTTCAAAGAGCTGCATAAGCAGGGAAGGGTACCGAGGCCTGACTGCAAGCATTAAGGGAAGAAACAAGGCCATATAGAATCTAGATAGTGTTCTTGCAGATCATGCTCAGGCACAGAAAAGCACATTTCTACTGCCAGCTCCCACAGCGAGTGACTTGTATGACCACAAGCAAGTTAAGGCCTCCTTTTCACCATCTATAAACTGCGTTCATATTTCCTTACCTGCAACCAAGCATTGCAGGGTTTAAAATGATGCTTTTGAGAAAGCACCTTAAGCTTTTGAGAGTATTAAACACGTGACAGAAACATTATAGTTACTGCTGGTGGAAGAAAATAAAACTGCAGGAAGGAGTCCTGATATGTTGGCTGAAAGCTAGGACTGTTAGCAGAGCTATAGCTCAGAGATATTGAGAATAGGGTCTGGATAGAGGGCAAAACAAGCACTGTGGCAGGGACAGGATAATCCAATGGATGAAAGTCACAGCAAACACCTCTTGCATGGAGGTTGGCAAAGTGCCATAGGCAGGTGATAAACTTAGAGAGAGGCTATGTGTTGTAAGGGCAATTCTGTCGGACGCTGGTAAAATTGGACAAGAGCATTTTCCAACCGGGCTAAGAACAAAGAATACTGCAAGGACACAAACGCAGGATAAAAGCAACAGTAGGCTGAGATGGAATGAGGTGAAGGGGAAAAAGCGCTGAGGAGCGAGAAACGGTGAAAGCAGTGAGGGGGCAGAGAAGCCTAGTAATTTGAAGAACCCCACACAAAGGAAATTACCATCCAGCATGACCACATCCTTGCTGTCCTGTAGCGGTGGCCTCTCAGCATCTCTGCTCCCTTCCTCCCCCTTCCTCTTGTCTGTTTTCTTCACAATCTTCACTGCAGGTGATGCTCTGGCTGCCAGGAACTGGTTTTGGAAGTGCAGCAGGTCTGCCTCGGACTCCCCAGGCTTCGGTCTTGACAACATCCTGCCTTCTTGTTCTTGTGGCCTGGCCCAGCGTGCTTTCACATGGAACCTATTGAACACATGGAAAACTGGGTACAGAACTGGATTTCCTGGGGAGACGATGGGGTCAGCAGGGGAAAGCCATTCATTTTTGTCCCACTCCGCTGTTCCTGTACATACTGCAGCAGCCTGACTGCAAGGTCACCCCAGGACACAACTCATTGTAGCAGAGCCCCAGACAAACTGTTTACCTTGTTCCTCATTGCCAAGCAGCATGCCACCAGACAAGCCAACACCTGGCCTACTAGCCAGTTGGGGGCAGAATGGCATCCATCCAGCAAAAAGACAGCCAACAAGCATATCACTGGCAGAAAGCCAATAACACAGCCTTGGATTGCAAAGCCACAGAAGCATCTGGTCCAGCACAACAGGCTTGAGTTACTCCAATATTGGCACCAAACAAGGAGAAGGTCAGAGGCACAGTCTCACGCAAACCACCTCCCTCCATCATACTGTCTTGTCAAGATCTTAGCATTAGCATCTCTACCACAAAGCAAGAGCCTGTCACACAGACGTGGGCAACATGTTCACTTGTTCACTCTTTTAACTTTCCTTCACACTTAGGTCTCCCAACTGAAAAAAGGTTTTCTTCCTTATCTAGTCCTCCTACTCGTGTTCTCTCTCACTGGCCTCTTACTGACAAAGGTTACGTTATTTCAAAGCATTTTCACTGAATGCTTGGGTCAGTTCTGGGTTGAAAGTTAAGGGTAGTATTTGTAAATGCTTTCACCTCAGTGCATAGGAGAGCCTACTGGGCAGGCAACTGTTCTACCTCCCGTCTGTTGGACATGAAAATACTTGTGAGTACCACTCCCCACCCCTCATTCTCATCAATCCATTTCTCACAGGCAGCGAGTAAAGTGTTTGCAAATACATTTCACACTAATTGAATGACCGATCAGCATTACTGCTGCAGACTTGACACCCTCCCACACTTGTTACTTTCAAAAGTAGAAGAGATCAAATATGTACAAAATATTTCAAAGACCATCAATAACTACTGATGGTCTCAACCATTTATTGGACTCAATAACTATTTATTGTGAAGTTGGAAAGGGAAGTGGATATGGATTTTTAAAACTAAGATTATCTACCATATGGTTAGGCCTATACCCAACATAAAATACAAAGCTTGAAGTGAATCTAGCTTGATCTCAAATCAAAACAGCGTTCAATCACTGTGCAGGCACAGCCACTGACCTGAAACCAATGTTTTGTTTCTTTCTTATGCTATTCTTATCCTTTGTGTAAAATATTTGGGGACTATGAGGTAATTCATGAGTCTATTAGCATCCTTTCTTTGTGGAAAGGATGCTAATACACACATGAATTATCTCATGCAGTATTTATGACCTACACTTGGAATATTTATACCTTCTTTAGGGAATCTTATTTTGGACCAAGTTCAGTAAAGATATGATGCTGATCATTCCAAGAGCACTAAATTAAGAAGAGATCCAGGCAGTGTCACAATGCCTTTAAAATAAAAAAAACAACAACAAAAAAAAAACCCCACCACCCTACACACAAACAAAAAAGGGCTTACTGTAAAATCACCTGCCACATAAAAGCTGCTGAAGTGTTTTTTCCTGCCCCTCATTTTGTGTGAAAAGTGGACAAAAATGCTCAGATTTAAGTATTTTGTGAACCAAATCAAAGTAGATTTTCAGATAGTTTGCGGTTTTCAGGGACTCCATTCACTTCAGAACCTTAAGACTGCTGAAATAGACCTCTTTGCCTGATGCTAGCATCACAAATGAGTTGCTGGATTTCAGACATCTCAAAACACTAGGCTTAACAAAAGTCATCAGCTCTAGAGTCCCAGAGCAACAACTTCCACTTATACTAAGCCTAAGTATGGCACAGACAGCAGCAAGGGGAACTTCCCCATACGCTCCTAACAATAAGACCCTCTCTCAGCACACGAGGGAAGCTGCCTGCCTTCTCAGCTAAGATTGTCAAGGACATCTGTGGAACGTGGCCACTACCGAAGGGATACATCACAGCAGGAAGGGACGTGAGCACCCTGCTATATTAATCTTGCTAATGTCAACGAGAGGCTTAAAACAGCGCAGAAATACCTGGGTTGTCATTGCAGTTCTGACTGACGTTGAAGAGAAGGCAGAAATACAACCCCGCAGTCCAGTTCCCTTCCAACTGCACAGCAAAAAAATATAACTTTTGCAGACAGCTCCTTGTTTGTGCACTCCCATCTTAAGTACACCCACATGCTCTTTATTTATGGAGCTTTCTGCCACAACAGGAGCTCCAATAATCACACTTCAGTTGATGAGTCCCCCCTTTAATGCACAGAAGCCGCACCACACACATCAGAAGCCAAGTGTTTCATGCCCTATCATCATGGGCTTCAAAGTGCAGATGAGGATGGAGCCAGGGTTACTAGAGGTAAACCACAAGGTTACAAGCAAAGCATGTCACTAATCTTTCAGTAATAAAACTCTTCAACACGTGAAAGCCCACACACTTGTCTGACTCTGTGTATTACTTACATCATTCAAAACAAAACCAAATATATATATATATATGTATATGTGCGTACATGTATATGTGCGTACATGTATATGTGCGTACATGTATATATATATATATATATCTGGGGCCTTGAAATTGCCTTCACTTGTCTGCAGAATCGTCAGGCACAAGCAGCCAGCCACACAGTCACTGCCTAAAGAAGTCAGGTGTTGTTCTAGGAACCATGTTCTCAAGGTTCTCTCTCCTACCATGTGAATATAGAGCTCACCCAAATGCAAACAGTTATAAGATGGTAATACAGAGATGGCCATTAGTTTGGTGCACAGACATAAAAGCCTTAAAAGTACTCTTGTAATGTTCTAACTGGGTCTAGAAGTTGCATACAACTGAGGCCTTTGACTTGGTCCTTCTGCATCCCAGTGAGACTGATCAGCTTGAACAAATTGATCAGATATGTATAGTTACTTACAGACAGATAAAACATGAAAACAGCCTCCAGCGGACAAAGAAAAAGGAACATTTAGAAAGTAAACTATCTAAGCACATTAGTGCATAGCAACACTTACCTGGCCATCATGAAGCGCAATTCTCATCCACCAGTGCTCAGAGAAAACATTCAAGAAGTATAACACACAGCTGATCATCAGCACTGACTCCAGCATCCTATGGTCTTGTTACCTCCAATCTTACAACTGGCTACTCAAAAGCTCAACTGCACACCTTTGCTATATGGACAGAGGGATCACCATCTAGCCAGTACAGATAACCTGTTGAGGATACTGGCCTAGAAACACAAATACAGGATCACAAGTGCAGAAAAGCAACATTCAGCATTCTTAACTGCTCTGCAAAGTGATAAGTCTAATATTTGCATTCCACTCTTTCACAAGAATGTTTTCTGTACTTGATACTGTAATGACTGGTAATCTAGATATTCCAGATTAAAGTTGCTACCTTTCTTGTCAATCTGCTATGGAAAGGGCAGGTATTTGTAGAGATGCTCCTCCCAGAAGGAGAGCCCAGGCCAAACACTGCAAGAGCATCTCCTCAAAGAGACTCTACAGCTCACACTGGTCACTAATACTCAGTGGCTGTTTCTTTTTCCTGCCAGCCACAAAGCACATACATGCATACAATGCCCTGCCTTAAGAAACACTGGTGTCCCCAACTCGGCTGATCAGTCTCTGCAGAAAAGGAGCCCCTGCACAGCACAAAAATAAAATCAAAAGCAACAAGCTGCTATTAACAACTTAAAGAACCGAATTGCCCTGAAGCAGCCACAGCGCTCACAGGCTTTCGCTAAATGAGTTTGAAACACGCACGTGGGCTGGGCTGGCCAGGCCTCTCCCCGAAGCGACGGCAGACCGTTACAACGGCCCGTACCCGCCGACGGAGACCCTGG